TTTTTTTTTTTAGTCCTCCTCTAATGGAAATGAAGTATTATTTGCTGCTGCTTCTCACTGTGTTTTTGGTACAAGTGAGTTTGATCTCAGTGGGCCTTTCCCACTGAGAAAATCAAGAATTAAAATATAAGGCCTTGCTGGTGTCTGCTTGGAGAAGGAAAAACTAATGAAAAATCACCTGCTGCTTTACTGCTTAGTGGGCTTCTGGAATCTGATGTTCTGTGCGTCTGTCTGCTTATTGACATTTGGTCTTGTTTAACAGTGGAGCATTTAGTGAAATTCAATCCTCTGCTTTCATTAACAGTCTAAATGCTCTCTGGTCTTTAGTGTGTTGTGCTTGGCAAGGGGTTATGCGTTGATCCGGCAAACCTAATGTGTTTACCTCTTTAAAAAGTTTTGTGGTTTTAAGTTATTCACCTCTTTGCCTGTATTTCGGTGTCATTGTTAAATTCTACTGGGCTCCGCCTCTCGTAACTTTTGATTTCCTTGCTTTGAAAAATTGTCGTTCTGAAGCATGCTGCTCTCCGGTGTCGTCTGGGCCTATGAAGCCTTGAACATAGCAGGCTCATGCTGAAGGTATTAATCATTTAACAGTGTCCTAGTTAATAACTTTCTCCTTCGTGATCTTGACCTAGTTTTTGACATGGATTCCAGAAATAGAATTTGGGTTGACACCTGAGATGATATTGAAGGGAACTGGGAATATAACTCTGCTTTGGAAGATTTTCCATCCAAATGTTTCTCTGGGCAGTGCTTTAACAACCACAAATATGTATGGTAAATATGAGATTGTCCTGCATTTAGTGGTATGCAACTTGTAGATAGTGTATATGTTTATGAAATGTTTAAAAATCAACTGGGCAATTGTCATCAGTTAGGAATTTGCGCTGGGAACCTTTCATATGCTTTTTTTAACGGAATTTGTTTCTGGCTAGCAGGTATGCTTGCTTCTGAATTCTGCTCTGATATTCCTCTTTTTCTCCTCCCAGAATATAAGATCAATAACTTTTCATGTTGGGTTGCTCAGTAGATCCAAGAATGATTCCAACTGGGATCCCAGGGGATCAGCTTCTCTAGATGACTGGGTAGTTTTGTTTCAGACACCCCCAGCTGTTTAAGTAAAGACGTGCTTCACAGTTACACCGTTCCTCCTGAAATAGTCTTTTGGGTTGCTTTAGGGTCACAAATAAAGATATTGGTTATTTCTGGAGTCCGCCTGTATTGTTTGACAAGCTATCTCGGTGAGACAGCTCCTGGATTGAGAAACTAGAGTATTTTCCTTTTTTTTTTATGCCGCATGAAGGTTAATGGAAAAAATTGCCACAACTTAGGACTCGCTTAAGAAAACGAATCGCACATGCTGCCTATGTGTACTCTGGCAGTGAAATGCGTTTGGGGCCCTCTCTTCTCTGCCACACTGTACTGCTGAGGCAGTCAGCCCTGCAGTGCCATTGAAAATGGCTCCATGCCATATTTATGCACCATGCTAAATCAGTCGTGGAGGCTCTTGCTGAGTCATAGACTAACTGTACTGCAGTAGCTAGGCCCTTTGTCTCACTAGATAAGTAGGAGCTGTCTGAATCTTACATTTTTTTTAGACATTTACTTGTTCTGTAATTAAAAAAAAATATCCTCCACATCTGTCCCGGATTCATTTACAAATATCAGAATTTGACGCTCTGGAAGATCTTATATCAGCATTAGTTTGTAATTTAATGTTAATTAACTTTAATTGAAAATTCCACTTTAGATGTAAGTGTTCTCGGTAATAGTAGCCTGATCTGTGTGTAAACTACACAGTATTTTTGATTTTTATCCCAGTGCTGCTTTTGTGTTGGCGTTTCAGATTTCTGACAAATGCAGACAATTTGAAAACTGAAAACAGCTGAGCTTTATCGGAGGCCTTTATTCAATGCTCATTTTGTAGAATTAATGTTGTGCTTCCTTTTTCTGTGGGGGTATTTTTAAAGGAAGGGCATGTTGCAGTTTGAAATAAGTCAGTTTTGGGGATTTAAATCGCGTCATAAGGGGCAAAGTAGACTCCTTTTTTTTAGCCTGTGTATCCAGTTCTGGTCGTGAGCAACTTATTGAGCCCAGAATCTCATCCACCCTTTTCTTGAAAGAAACCAGGGCATCAGCTTTAACAGCACGGCTGGGCAGCTTGTTCCACCAGCTTGTTTTAACAGTCTGTGTCTTCAGCCAGTTTGGCTGATGCTAGTGATGCTGGTAGCAGAACTGCAAAGATGTCTGCTTGGAAGTTCGGGGAGGCTGGGTCTGGTCATAACCGGAAGCAGAGTCATCCAGGGAAACCCAGCTTGCTCTGTCCATGTTTGAAACGGCAGGTGTATTAATCTGGGTGCTCTGGCTGCATACCCCTCTTTACAGTCTGGCCTTCCTGAATTACCCTCTAAATTGAGTGGGTGAAATGATTACTCACTGATCTGCTGACTGCTGGGGCTGCTGGTGCGGGATGGTTGCCTCAGGTCACCCAGGAGGTGCTGAGTTTCAGGAGTGGATCAATCTGGTCCCTTTCCCATAATGTGCAGCACTATGGGATCCTTAGGGATGCAAGTGCAATTAATTTGCGGATCAACCTTGGATGTTTAGGTCAGAAAGAACCCCTCTTTCTTGATTGCAATGAGAAGGCTCTCAGAAAGCAGAGGTTTGCTTTGATGGAATTATTGCAGAAGTTGCTGGCGTTTCAAGCTAAAATCCAGACAATGAATGAAAGAGGTGTAGTTCTAAAACTTTGCCTTTTAGGCATCGTCGGTCAGCTGGTATGTGCTGGGAGTCCTTCATATGCTCTGTCATGTGGCCCCTCCTGTTCTGCGATTGGCTTGTGGTCAACCATGCTTGGTATCTTGCGACACGTTTCTATGGAGTTGCCATGGTTCCACTTGGGTTGTCCCGAATACAAACTATAATGAATGTCAACATGATCATGGTCTAAAGTCCCGGTGGGGGGTGGTGCTAGGCTCCGTCTCCTTCCTGTTTGGGATTGTCACATTTCAGCATGAGGCGATTTTCTTGAGCGTGCATTTAAATCGGTAGACATGGAAAGGTTTCAGAGGTTTGAAGTCCGCAGTTGCTGCTCTTAAAGACCAGCTCAAGGCCACATGGAGTGGTGATGTCTTCCAGCAGGGCTCTGTCAAGAAGTTCAGCTGCTGGTACTCCATTAGAACGGCTTTCATTTCATTAGCGTGTAAAGCTTTTCCTCCAGGCTTTGCTGAAGGGCCGGTCTTAATCACGCCGTCCTTGGGGGAAGTGTGTAAATGCATTATCCTCCGTGCAAAAAGAACAGTAACACGAGAAGCAATAAATACTAAAAGCGGTATGGGGCGTGTTGGTAGAATAGATGTATTGAGCACAAGTGGTGCAAGGGGAGTTGCTGCTTCTCTCCGTCTCTCCCTGTGGGGTGCAGCTCACAGGTCACGTTTCACAATCCCGAATCGGAGTCTCCCTGCTGCGGCTGAGGCCTTGCATCGCTTATGCACGCCTTCTGTTCATGGCCTTTTCTCTCGACCTGTAGGCTATAAGTTTTTCTCCAGGGCAGTTTCTTTGCAAGCGCGCCTTAAAATCCTGCCTGCTATCAGATGACGTGCCTGCATGTGAAAACAGTGGGGCTTTCTTGCCCCCTTTTTCCTTACTCTTGATGCCCCCGCGTGGAGGAGGCTGAATGGGGTGACGGTTGGGAGTGATTGGGGAGAGAAGGCAGGGAGAGGGATGGACCCTAGGGGTCAGGGCTGGGATGGCGAGAATGAAGACATTGTTTTAATTTTAAAGAAGGAGGGCGAAACGAATCTGCGCTCTCTGCAGGAGTGAAGGTTCAATTTCTGGCCATGGAATGTTTTTGGGGGGCATAATGCTTCCATTTTTTTTTTTTGCAGCTTTTCCCTTTAAATCTTCAGGGCAGCTTCTGGTGAGAGGTTTTTGTCTCTTTGCAATGTGTAATGTGTGCTTTGAAGCTGAAAATAAAATCTGGAATCTGTCCCTTTTTTAACCAAAAAATTCCCCCACAAAATTGTATTTGCTCAATGTTTTCTGATACTTTGTGGTCGAACGTTGGGCTGGGGTTTTCTTCGTTCTTCACATTCTATAGCGTAGCGCTTTTCTTGGAGACCTCAGAGAAGGGGTGTTAGCCTCTGCTAGTCTTATAACTGGAATTCCTCCTTTTGTTTCGGTATTATCTTTAAAATTCTCGTCGTTTGTACGTGTTGCTTAGTGTTTGCAGAGATTTTTTTTTTCTAACCTTCATACTTTCGTACTGACAGAAGTTCCGGTTTCTGAATATGAAAGGGTTTCAAACCCAAACCACTCCTTTCCTGCTTCAGACCACAGGCTGGTTTGTGGCCAGCTTGATATTCATTAAGCAACCAGTGCTAGGAAATACAATAAATACTGTATCTATATAGAGGGCTGCAGTTAACACGTCGAACCTGCTGCGTAGATTACTGCTCTGCTGTACACAGCTGACAAATACATTTTTAATAGCTGGAATAATTAAACATTTTTAACACTGTTCTAATTGCAGAACCACATTTTTAGTTTTCAGTGAAGTTATGTAGAAACCCACTTGTATAGTGCAGTGCGATTCAGATACTGGCTTTGCCTACGCCTGGCCAGGCAACCTAAGAACCTAAGGGATCGCCTCTTTAACAGACAGCCGCTGCTAGGCTGATGCTGGTTTTCACGTGAGCCAGCCCCGTCAAATCGATCTGAAAGGGTCCTGCCTTAATGCAGCGATTTCTGTAATCCCAGCAGGATTCCAGAGGCCTTCGCTAGCAGTGCCCCACTGAGTCCTCTCGGCTGCCGCTATGACGTGACAGCTTATCTATCTGCCTGCCTCGCTCCTCTCTTGTAGAAAGCGCAGTCAGCACTCGTTTGGCCAATCTGTGCTTGTGCCTTTGAGACCAGGGTTCTGCAGGATTTACCAGTACGATTCCTCAGATTCCTCAAAGAATGCCCGTCTTGAAGTTGTGGCTTAACAGGCATTGTCTGGAACCTGTTCTTCCCTCTTTGTTTCTGATTTTATAAAGCTCCCTAGTGTGCTTTCTCACTTTGAAATATGTCAAACAATGCCTGCTTTATTCATATTTATTATTAAAGGTTCAAAACCACATTGCTCGTATTTCTTCAGTAAGACCTCAAAAGCATGGTGGTTGTAGTTTTTGGCATGCCACGGGTAACTGATGGCCTCGGTGGGCTTGGAGGTCCTGTGCATCTCCTGGCCTGTGTCCCTTGTGCCTCAGCGGTGTCCTAACAGGAATTCTGTGCCTGGGTCATGGCCAGGAGAGTGTGCGTTCCAGCGTCCCGGGGCTTTTATGAGCAACAGGGCAGGCAGGCTGGCTGCCCCCTGCCCTCCCGGGGGACAAGGGCTGCTGACCTGCACTGTGCCTCCGACAGGAATTTCCTTTTCACTCCCGTTGTTTGTGTTTGTTTGTTGTGGTTGGGGTAGTTTCTTTGAAGAAGAATTTTGGGCGGCGATTCTGCGTTTTCTTTAGTTTACCGTGGATAAACTTTGAGTTGTACATGCCCTGTATTTTTTTTTTAAAAAACATGCTTTTCGTTGTCTGTTTGATATGGAAATTTCGGAAAACGATCTCGCAAAGTAATATCCCAAAAACGGGTGGCAACATGCTCGTAACACTAGAAAAAGTAGGTAAACGCAGAAATGGGAGTGAAATGTGGGATACGGCGCTAGCCAGTTCCATTTCTGGCACACTTTCTAGCAATGAGCTGCAAAGTATAGTTGATGCTTTTTTTTTATGCCAGGGAGTGAGCATTCTTTTTTTGGACTGCCTTGTTCTGACAGTGGTGGGGTTAGACGGCCGTAGCACTCCTCACTCCTGCCCCTTATTGTGCAAACATCAGAATTACAGGGCTGCTCCTCTGCATGACTCTCCTCAAGTCCCCTGCCTGCAGACCATGACACACTTGCCTTCTTGGCTGCTGCTTTTCCCCCCCATCTGTGGGGCAGATACTCCAATATTGAAATTAGTTTCACGAGCGTTGGAAAACCTTTGAGCTGATTTGGTTACCCTGGGCTAATTAGCCATAGTTATTACGTGGGGTAAGGATCATCCTGCAAGCTCTGTCAAGTGCTGCAGAAACCGCAGCCCCAGTCTGGGTTTAATGCATATTCAGCCCAAGTCTGCGCTCCTTGACAGGATAATGTGAGTGAGGCAGGAATTTCAAATGAGCTGCAGCACCAAAAATAAGGGAGAAGAAAAGAGGTGGCAACAGTCCAGTAAGCAGCACTTCATTACTTTTTAATATATGTGAAATTCCTCTGAGTTTATTTTAAATACCAGTGATGTCGGCCAGGCCGAGCACTTAAAAAAAAAAAAAAGGCTTTGAAGGTTAATTCACTTCGTTTGGCTGTTGTTAGAGGAACACGTCAGTTCAGTGAGCAGTAAATTACAGACCCGAAAACCTGTTGAGAAACAGAGAGACGTGATGTTTGCCATTGCAGTTTATGTATAATTTCGGCCCGGTCTGCCCCTTGTAGCTACCGCAGTGCTGTGTATGGCGATGGAGTCTGGTGTCCTTGTGCCAGCGCTGTCTTCCCTTTCTCTAGCTGGGCTCGTGCGTCATCCAAGCCCTTGTCATTTATTTCCTTTATTATTGTGTCATTGTGTTGGTATTCAGGTTTACACAAGTGTTTGTGGACTGTCAAACTGTTCTGTGCAGATTGTGTTCTTGGGATCCATAATCTCCTTTCAAGTTTCATCCCAGTAGCACTTCCATCCCCAGCAAAGAGCATTTCTTCTTGAGATTATGAACATCGCCCCTAGAGCTGGGGAACTCCAGACATTTCCCGTTTTCACTGCCTCTTTGTTGTTCTGTACTACCGGATAAAAATCTTTTTCTACCTCCACCTGTGTCATCATTCCAACCCACAGGATCAAATTAGGCAGTTGCAACTCTTGAGTTAAATCTGTCCATAGTAAAGAAAAGGAGTCAAATTCTTCTGTTAATTGTAAACTAAATCTAATCGTGTTTTGACTTTCAGTAAGGCTGAGCTGTGAAATGGATCTTATGTATCATATAATGAAAGATGCCAGTTATTTTAAGAAAAATAATTATTTCCTCCTCTTTGTCAGCCATTGTAACAAATGGATTTGCAAAGGCTGTCAGGAATCTGCATAATACCTTGGCAGTTCCAAATGCATTTAATAACTGTAACTGCCTACTGACTGCCTATTTTTTTTTCCATCTGTTGAATTCCTTGTTTTAAGTTCCTTTCTTACATGCTTATGGACTCTGAACACATGAAATATGGCTGCTGAAGAACTGTCATAGTGCCTGCTGTATACGCTCGAAATGAGGTGAATTTGTTTCATAAGGGAGAACACGAATCCTTATTCATGATTTTTTTTCTTTCCCCTTAGACTTATTCTGGGCTTTTCTGCGTGGTCATAAATCCCTATAAGAACCTGCCCATCTACTCCGAGAACATCATCGAAATGTACCGAGGGAAAAAGAGGCACGAGATGCCGCCACACATCTACGCCATCTCCGAGTCGGCCTACAGATGCATGCTGCAGGGTAAGGAAACCGGGAATTCGCCGAGTCACGTTTTTCCCTAGCTTCCATGTTTGGGATTAAAACACTTCTCTTTTTCATCAAGCTTATGCTGTTCAAAAAGTTGATTCGGTCTGTCGGCACCCGTCGGTGTCCAGCGAACAGCTCCAGCTGATGGGGATGGGTGAGGCCAGGCGGTCATCTTGAAGCCGGGCTGTGTTGCGGTTGTTTTAGGCTGGCGGGAGCACCAGGCTAGTACTAGGCTGTGAAATGAAGGAGCAGTGAATGGTATTCTCCCCCTTTCATGCTGGTGTGTCAGTTTCCTAGATAGGACGCTTTTAAATATGACCGTGACTGCGCACTAAACAAAACTATCCCTTCTGGTACAAAGCTTGGTTTTCTGTGAAATGATATAGAGGGTTTTTGAGTCATTTTATTGCCGCAATATTTGACTCTATAGAAAGTAACGTGATTTTCTGTCACGCTGGTTATGAGGAAAAATACTTTTTTCTGCTACGGCCGTGGCCTTTTATGTCTAAAACCAAAAATATTGAGGAAATGAGTCGCTTAGCTCGTAACCATTACACATTGTTTTGAAATAGTTCATCTGGGGTTAAGTGGCTGCTCACCCTTATCTGTAATACAGCCCATCGGGGTGTGTTCATGTTTGAAAGGTTAATGTGGTAAGAATGGGAAAACAATTTACTAGTGACATTTGATTGATTGTATTGGTGATGTACAGTTGTACAAATTTGAATTCTCTTTGATCCTCCTAATGTTAAATAAACATTTGATTACCTAGCAGAACAGATTTTAGAAAACTATTCTTGCATATCAGTTGAGAAGTATCAGAATAAGGCCTCCCAAAAAAGAAAAGCAGTGTTTTCCTCTAATGACAATACAGGAGTGAAGTTTAAATTTCTGTAAAGAAGAGGAATCATTTGAGAAATCCGCAATTCCCTTTTCTTTTGGATTTTGCTATAGGAACTAGAGGATTGTTGTGCCTGAAGTTAGAGGCTAACGTTCAAGATGATCAGCGCAGGGTTAATGTGATGCGACTGATCTCCAGTCTGGACAAAGCCTCTTCCTTCTGCATGATTTTTAACGCAGGCACATGAGCGAGACGCCGTACGTCAGATTTGCTTTGGTGTCCTCTCAGGAAATGAGCCGGTATCAGGGCTTAATCCTTGAGTGATGACAGTAGGGATTCGGCTCAGCCTGCAGCCGAGACACACACACAATAAGAAAAATTTCCAGGTCGTGAGCTTTCCACACTGCCAGTGTTCGTCAGGGTTCGAGTCTGAAAGCATAGAGTAGCCGTGACCAGGCATGCCATTGTTAAAGCAGTGCACCGCTTTTTGTGGTGAAATATAATAACTGCGTTTGGAAAGCATTGTGAAGGTACAGGCACCTTCCTTCTTGAAGAGTTGTTCGCTGTTTAATCATGTAGTGTAATAGGTACAGTTTAATGACCAGTATTTATTGAACATTGGTCCTGCTGTTTCTGTTCCCTATCCTTCAAGATGTGGATGCTGTGCAAGATGCATCGACTTCTATTGTTAAATTATCCTTTGTAAGCTTTTGTCAAGTGTGGTGTGATAAATTAGTGGCTGACATTATTGGAGACAGTGGGAAGTTTTTCTGTGACTGTAGTATTGAGAAAGTGTGCTACCTGTCCCTTTTGTGCGGCCTGAGCTCCTTTTCTTCATGAGACTGCTGATGCACCTTTGTTCCTACTTGTGCTTCACAGAAGAACATAAAACTTGAGTACAAGCCTCTTATTGTTCAAGCCTCTCCTCCAGTTTTCACAGTGACAGACCACCGAATGAGCCACATGAACTGCAAGCAAGGTCTAGTCGCGCTTCTCATTGTGTCCCACAGCAGTGAAACTCAACACCTGGCCCAGCTGTAGTCAACCACAAGAGCATGTTGGCGCAGATGAGCTAATTGTGACTATGCCAGCAATCGTGCTTTTAATTAAAATAATGTTCTGCATATGTCATGCAGAAATTACTGTAAATAGCCAGTTTTAATTGCTGAGTTATGTTAATACACTAGCCTTTACACATCAACCACTTCATTTAATGTGTCATGCATTGTGGTATTTACATGAAAGTTTCAAACCTTTCAGCACTGGAGAAGTCTGTTTGAAATCTGCAGCTGGTTCAGCCTTTATACTGTCCAGTTCTGCAGAATGACTGTTTGGAAAATGGAGCACAGTACATGTGGATTTTTTTTAAATGCGTCTTGGCTGAATTTAAGAAATATTTTAGTGAGAGGAATGGAAATAACATTTGTAAAGAGTGGCATTTCTTTGTTTTTCCTCCGACAGTGTTTTGTTAGTAATGCCAGGAATGTGGCGTTCCTAGTGCTGGATCCAAAAAGGAAGTACCATAAGAACCAAATAGATCATCTTGGTTCATCGGCACACAATGTCATAGCTCTGCCTTTTGAAGTCCATGGCGTCCAGCAGGAGGCCTTTATCTTGAATTGTGTCTCCGTGAATCCTGTACTGAGCGCCCGAGCAGGGTTAAAGTACTAAATTTGAGTCAAAGGCTTTATCGGCTTATTGCTTCTGTTTGAAATGCAGTAGAATGTGATTGATTTCTGGAAGCCTAAAAGGACATACTCTCATATACAGTACAGTATATCTTATAGATACCCTTATCTTTCATGGGCAGTTGCTGTTATTTGTCTGAAGGAGTATACTTATTTTCATTTCAAGCACAAATAGCCACACGATGGCTTGAAACCAGCTTTTGAGTCATTGCTTTAGATTCCCTGGGGTCTTTCAGAATAGCTGGGCAAGACCCATGGACCAATAAGCAAGTAGCAGCCAAACCAGATGGGATTAATGTGCTCCTATTGCTAGTAAGCCTTATGCTACAGAAACCCACAACCATAGTGTGCATCCAGGGTTGTACGTATGTCCAGAAACAAAATGCTGTTTTTGCCTTCTTGCTTAGTTTCAGAGACTTTTATATCCTTTGCTTGCTTTAGGAGGGGAATCTGTTTCTGCAGTAGCTGGTTCTTACTTGAGTTCTTTTGCTCTGATGGAAGATGACTCTGTAGACGATTGCTTTTACTTGGGTGGAAACGCCCCGCAGGAGAGGTTGTTGGAGGAAGCTGCAAGACCATCGCAAAACAGTTTCCCAGTTCCTGACATGAACTGGTAGCTTCACTTAAGACTGTGGAGCAGAATTTGAAGAGAAGCAGAATCTGGAGGTCTCATCTCCATGTAGCCTTCATTAATAATGAAAATAGCCTGATAGATGAACAGAAGCAATGTAGTTGTTAAACAAGAAGAGCAATATCCAATTATAACTGCAAAACTAGGCTGTGGTGAATAATACCCCAGATTTAGGCTGTGTATTTGTGGAGCTGCAGTTGCATCATACTTTCCACTCGCTGATGGCTGACATAGACAAATATAGATGTTGAAGAGCATATTGTTTTCCCTTGTTCTGAGCAGCAGATGTGTTTTTCTTGACTCGGCTTTACTGTGAAGTTGTGTAGCCACGTGTCTAAGAGCTAAATGGATATGGGACCTCAGGGTTGGTCTGTTGAGTGAGGTCATCTTTTCTCCATAGGCAGAACAACTGTCTCCTTAGTCATCTACAGTTTAAGGGTTATTAGGACAGCGCTAACCTCAGTAACCTCAGTCTTTCTGGAGGTGGTCATGAATCTATTATTTCAGATGGATGGCATTAGTGAGTCATGCACAATGTATGGCACGATGAAATGTCTTTCTGGGTGACAGGCCAGCTAAAAGAGTATTGACCAGTGCTGGGTGTACGATATGCTCCGGCTCGGCTGGTGCTCTTGCCTTTGATCCTTGTCTGACCAGTCGATGGCTTTGGGGAGCATGTGCCACTCCTGTTTTTGGCTTTTTTTTTTGTGATGGATGACCACAAATGAAGACACATTTGACTTCTGTCCGTTCTCTTATCGTCTGGGTTTTTATTAAAATGGAGCTGGGATAAATGCTTTGCTGGTATTCCCTTGTTCGTTCCCCTAACCCTGAACTTTTTCCGGGCCTCACTTGATCTTTCTCCAATCCACCGAGCTTCGTCGTTCCCACAGAAACTTCCCGCCTCCTGCTTCTGCTTTGGCCGCAAGTTCCAGGCGGCTGTTCTGCTTCTCTAGATGACGGGAGAATGAATCGGGGGAACGTGGAACGGAGCTGCGGGTCGGGATCGGGAGCGAAAGGGTCTGTGGCGTGGCGAACTGACAGGCGGCGGGTGACCGGCTGTGCAGTTTCACAGCACGCCTCCCGAGGCCACGTCTCGCATTCTCCCGCTCTGATTAAACACAAACAAAGGCCGTGGTTCTTGGCAGTTTCCTGTGCGTGTTTTCTTTCAAAGATCCTTCTGGGTTTCCTTCTGTTTACTGAAGCGCCGTCCTTGTCGGGCTCTGCTTGTTTGGGTTGACCTAACAGAATGGCCTCGGGGCTCGACAAGTTACTCCGGGGGGCCACAGCTCTATGTAAATTCAGACTAAGGTGGGACGACGGTGTATTTTGTGTTAGGAACTTGTCAGGGGTTGGAAAGAAGCTGGAACAAGGACGCAGGGAGCGACGCGTTGCGCGTCATGCTCGGCTGCCGTGCTGTCCGAGTGGCCCCCTGACCAGCTGTGCTCCGGTGTTGAGTTTGCGAAATGCTTCAGTGCGGAGCGGTCCCCACGCGGGAGCCGCGCAGGAGAGAGAGAGCGAGACCCACCTCGGGCAGCACAATGGTTTCTTTGTGCCGCTGCTGCCGAGGGGCTGCAGGAGTCGGCGCTTCTCTGAACAGACGTCCTGTGTTTCTCCGGAGTTAACGCGCGGCGAGAGACGGGAGACAGGTGTGAGAAGTCACGGACGACAGGCGATGGTCAGCACCCCCCTCCGCGGAGAAGGCCTGGGATAAAAGCCTGTCCCTTCTGCGGCCTCTTCAGTCCCGAGAGCCGCGCTGGTCAGTCAGAGGTCTGGCTTGGTGAAGTCCAGCACTCCTCCCCCTGCACTCCTGCACTTTCGTTCTGGCATGCTT